AGGCCTTTATTACATATAATAGCACTAATCTCATTGACGAAGGTTCATGACCTAATCACCTCCCAAAGGCCCCACCTCCAGATACCTTCACACTGGGGATTAAGTTTTAAGACATGAACTGGGGAGTGAGGGTGACACACACAGGTAGTCTGTAGCACCTACTCATTGGTGTACATTTTACCAGTGGTTGAACCTCAGTGATGTTTCCATTACTTGGTTCCACACTCCTTCGTAGGTACATTCTTTCTGGTTTCTAGTGGCCAGCAGAGCTCATGAGTTGGATGCATGACATTTACTCGGACGGCTACAGCATGTCCTTTGGAAGAAGGATGTTCTCCTATTTATGATGGAGAATCAGCAAGGTGAAGCTGCGTTTGCCACAGCCTTTTCCAGCTTCCTGGGCTTGTGTCTGCCTCCCACTGCTGGTACTGACATAGGCACCACCACTTCCTTTTACTTGATTAGTTCAATTGCCTTGAAAGCCAATAGCAACCAGGGTCCAGGAGGAATTTAAAAAAATGGAAAAGTAGGGAAACCATCCGTTCTTGGACCTACTTGTACTACTCTCTGCAATAGCCTTCACCCCATGGTGAGCCTCACAAGAAGCATCCTGTAGGGGCGTCAAGTTAATTTCTCATTGCAGCAAGATAGTGGCTTTGGGAATGCCTTTTGTGCATATCTGAGCCCTCTTTACAGAGAAGCAGAGAGTGGAGTAAAAAAATTGCTCCTCCAGTCTCTAAGTACTTTCTAAGTACATGCAGAGAATTGGAGCAAATTAGGTTCCAGTGAGAAACGTACCATGTTGCTGCCTAAGCTCAATGGATCTATAAAAGCCCCAGGGTTGTGACTGACCACTAGGGCACAGACACTCCTTAGAAATTGGTTGGTTTGACTGTTTTCATTGCAAGAGACAGGCTTTCTTACCTTTTAAATCTCCTTGGCCTCAAGTATTCTGCCCTCTTAGAACTTTGAATATGGTCCATCATGGTCTTTCTGAGTCTTGACCACCCAATTTCAACATCTACTTCTTTCTTTTCTTTTCTTTTTTTTTTTTGAGACGGAGTTTCGCTCTTGTTCCGCAGGCTGGAGTGCAATGGCGCGATCTCGGCTCACCACAACCTCCGCCTCCTGGATTCAGGCAATTCTCCTGCCTCAGCCTCCTGAGTAGCTGGGATTACAGGCACGCGCCACCATGCCCAGCTGATTTTTTGTATTTTTAGTAGAGACGGGGTTTCACCATGTTGACCAGGATGGTCTTGATTTCTTGACCTCATGATCCACCCGCCTCGGCCTCCCAAAGTGCTGGGATTACAGGCGTGAGCCACCGCGCCCGGCCTCAACATCTACTTCTAACAGACTCTGTCTCTTGATATTTCCTAGAGAGATCATCCAGTTGGCCTAGCCCATGTGCTGAGCCACATTTTTGTGGCTGGTCAGCCCGTGAGCTTGTGGCTCCTGGGTTGATGTCTCTCCTGTCCAAAAGGTGGAAGCCAGAGGGCAGAGCAGGCAGCACCACATGTGTTCTCTGAATAGGGCTGAACATAAGGCAGGCATCAGGACTGCTGGGACTCACACAGGGAGGGACAGATGGGTGGTCTTGGGAGCTGGTGTGCCATACCACTGTTATTCTTGGACTCCTTGGGAGCCACTGACCTGGATCAGACTTCTTTACACTCTGAGAAGGGAACCTAAACAGACATTGGCTTCTGCCCTGTGTCCTGCTGACCCCAGAACTACATCTTTCTTTAGCTGCTAAGTCATGGGTAGTCTGAAACTGCTTCTCTGAGGCCTACAGATGGCCGGGGGGGAGCATTCTTTTTGGCCCATGAACTCATCACCCAAGCTGGGATGGCTCATTAGATCACATTGGATCCTCTAGGACTGGAACGGTTCTTTAGTAACCCCCAACAGGCACTGTTTTGTGGCTGGTTTATGAAAAGGATTCCGTCTCATTGTCTGGAAGAGGTAGAATGAGAAACAGGCAGGTTTTGGGGTATGAAAGCCTTTGTCGTTTTATTTTACAATAAAAAATTCTAACAGCATATGAACACTCTGTTCCTGGCAGAGGCTAAGGACGTACAAAGTTCATCAGAAAGCAAAGCATTAAAATAACAACAGCTACATTCAAAGCTTCTGCTCAGTACTTTGCCCAATGTGTCTAACGTGGTTTTAAAGACTCACCGGTCAGGGTTTTTCACCCAGAGTTAAAGCACATGTACAAATACTTACATATCCTCCAAATCATAGACAACAATGACAGTAACAGCAACTCCAGATGAGGCTAGATCTGGTGGGCAATTTCAAATTTAGGAATTTCTTTATTTTTCCTTGGTGAAGCATTGTGTCATGGAACATGTGACAGTATAAATTCAGCAGACAGGAGGAGCTAAAATATTTTCCTGGATAAAACTGAATTACAAAACTAATAATTTAGTAAGAATGCCTTCAAATGCTTGTCAAACCGTTTTCAGATACATTATGCTGTGTGCTCCTCAAAACCACCATGGGAAGTACAGAGGGTCTTATACCCATTTGACAGAGGAGGAATCAGAGACCAGTCTAGGATATTTGCACCTTTTTTTCAAAATTTCCAGTCCATTCATATGCCTCTGATTCTGTCTGGTACAAATCTTTACTCAGTTTCTGTGTGAGATGGGGGGTGAGTTTAAACATAAGGAAGAAATGAGGAAAAATAAGATGAGGCCACAATTTATGTCAAATACATTGATGGCCTCTCTCCATAATTTGCAAGAGTCTGACCAAGGTCAGAGAATGAAAATGATCAATTTTTAGATTTCATTTATAATGGCTCTCACTGAAGTATGGTTTGACCAATGGAGACAGATTCTGCCATATCACAAACTTCTCATTTTTTAAAACACCTGCAGAATCAGAGCAACTGCATATCTTCTAAAGTAATATGTTTGTGGCACAATTATATTTCCTAAATAATTCTTTTCAGAAACACATTTTAGCACTTACCACAGGCTAGGATTCTGTAACAGTTCGCCTCAGAAATCGGGAGGCCTTTCAATTCTCAGGACACTAAGTTATTATATTCAGAAGGTCAAAGCCACAATAATATGTTTCACTTGAAACCAATTTTGTTTCAAAAGACTCTGTTGCGGGGCTCATTGGTTTTCTCATCCATGCAAGCATGTGGCCGTGAGCCACATTAACAGCACCTGAGCTAAGATCATGCAATTCAATTTACAAGTATTTATTGTCTGCTGAGCAAGACATTGTGCTAACTGGGCCTTGGTCAGAAATCACTTCTTAGACCCAGCGGCTGTATCAATAACTGGTGTTAGGGTGAGAAGTGGCTGGGGCAGCTCTGGTCAGTCTAGCAGAGTTTCAAGTGTGGGCATCCTCACCTGAGGTGCAAGTGAAGATGCCCTTTTCTCTCTCTGTGGTAGTATGTGGGAACTGTTCTCCAAGTGCTGGCTGCTGTGCGCCATGGCATCCCAGGAGGACTAGTCAGTTCCAGTGTGTAGCATGTTCTTTTTGAAGGTCCTGCCCACTCATGCTCCTTCCTCTGGGTCCCAGCCCCCAATAAAAGTCCCTGCTGAAAGGGTTAGTCCACGGGGCCATGCTAAATGACATGACCCTACCTCCTTGGTAACAGCTGATTGGACAGGCACCTGACCCCAGAGTGGCTCACCCATAGGCAGATGAACTAAACCAATCAGATCCTCAAAAACTTGCCTTAGGGGTCACAGAGATGGTAGTCAGAAAGCGGTGGGTACTGAAAAGGACAGGTTGTGCAGAGTGGGCTCTGGAATGGATTTTTCAGCTACGTGTATGCACTAATGAGAAAGCTGGTTGGCCAGGAGGAGCAAGAAAACCAGGCAGATAGGCAGAGGGAAACACAGAATGAAGTCCATGAGGACAGAGAACGTGAGAGCAAGAGCGAGGGCGGCTCGCTCCATCCATTTCCTGTAGGGGAGCCATGTTCTGTGTTTGTGAAACCTCCCTCTATTCTTTCAATGCCTGCACTTGACCACATGTGAATGGATTTCTGGTCCTCATAAAGCTCCTTGCCTGGAATACCTTTGAGGTTGGAATGAATGGCAGAATTTAATTTCCAGCATTTAGACTTCAGTCAGAAATGACTCTCTTTCCTTAAGAGTATTTGGATGTAGTTTGTAAATAAAATCCAAGTTTTCTTCTGCTGTATGACAGGAGGAATTTAGGATTAACTACAAATCCTGTTCTCAAACTTTTAAGGCAATATCTGTTAAATTATTCATTAAATGTTGAGTGCCTATGTGCTATGTAGGAAAAAAAAAAAAAGCTCATTTATATGTGATCAATGTTTAAATCTTTTGATCCATTTCTCTAATTTCTGCCTGTTAGAAAAAGCGTTTCTATTAGTTAGGTATTTAAATTTCTCACCCCCTCCATTCTACTTTCTCTCTCCAAAGCAGGGGGGGTGTGTGTGTGTGTGTGTGTGTGTGTGTGTGTGTGTGTGTGTGTGTG